GGGCGGCGGGGGGCTCTTCCACACCAACTTTTGCTCTGGACAGTAGCTGCCCCCACCTGGCCAGCCCCTGGAAGTGCCTGCCGGCCTGTGTCCAAGCCCCCTCCTTCCCCACTGATGATGGTGCCCCTCCAACTGGAGTTTCCCAGGAGAAGCCCAATTTTATCATTTCCTCGGTCAAGATGGTTCTTTAAATGCATTTCAGGAAGCTACAGTAAGAATTTTCATGTAAGGACATTCACAGATTAGGAGACAGTCCTGTGCCAGAACGTCTCTGTTTTTGCCTCAGAAAGCTATGGTCATTCCACCCCCTGAAACTGCTCCCCTGTCCTGGGAACTGTTCTTGACTTTGCTGCATCTGGCTCCCTGCAGAGGCCTTCCTTGACTGTTCACCCTCTCCCCATCTCCCCCTCACCTCTCCTGCGCCACCACTTGCTCTGTGAAAACAGCTGGTCCCTTTGTGTTTCTGTGATAGCACCGCTCGGTGCGAGCTCCTGGAGGGCAGGACCCTTGTCTGTCCCATTCACTGGATGCCCCCCGCACCCGTACCAGTGCCCGGGGCATGCTGGGCTTCCTAACCTTGCTAACTGCTCCCTGAATTCTCACGCTGCTGTCCTGTTCTGGGCCATTGCTCTCAGGTGCCCCTTATTGGAAACATTCTCAATCAATGGCTGAGGAGTTTCTCCCTGCTCAAGGGTCACTATAGGGAGAGGCACTGGCCAAGGGACCCAGGGGGCTTCTGTTAGAGCCCCATGGTCTCCCTCTCTCACTAGACAAAGGGCGTTCCTTCCAGACGACCTCAGGGGCCAGAAGGCTTGGAGGATGGCGCCGCCCTGTGTTCCCACACAGCAGCAGCCCTTTTGGCCTTCAGCCCTCTCCCAGGCCTGGGCTGAGCTGGGTCCCCTCAGGGGTGCTCTCCAGGGACCCGTCCTCAGATTCCTGGGTCAGAGAGTTCCCAGGATGGGACAGGTCATTGCTGGCCCCAGACTTCTTCTGGAATTTCCCGTTTCCTGGAAGGAGGGTGAGGTCACGTTCCTTCTTACTTGAACTGGGGATAACGGGCCCCAGCCTGCGGAGCTGCCTGGATTCCTGGGTGTTCAGAGTTCTGGTCACCAGGAGAGTGGGTCACCCTCTTTACAGGTGTCCCCGGACCCTCCGCCCTGGCCAGTCACTCTTCTCCCACGGCGCAGTGCCTCTGAGGCGTTGGCTTTGCTGCAAGGCTCTGTCCTCTCTCCCCCACCAGGGGAAATCGCTCTCTGTGAAGCCCCTGTCCATAGCAGTGAATGCTCGCTCAAGCCCCTTGTCTCTCTCCCCCACCCTGATGCTCTTGTCCTCTCCTGCAGAATTTGGGCGTCCCCTCCTGCAACCTGCAGATGTCTGCCCCACACACTCCGTGCCCCACACATCAAGCAGTGCAGCTTGCCGGACCGTGCCCTCGGGCCTGTTGACTTCCACCTTCGGAAGGGCTCTCCACCCCAGGGCTGGTCAAAGCAGACCTGTGATTAGAAGGTCAGACATTCAGAGGCTGATGATCAAATGTGCTCAGTGGGACCCGGGGCCCCCAACATGGGCCCTCTCAACATGGCATAAGGCCAAGCATGGCAGATGGGGTCCTGACCCCTCCTCTCCCTCTCTGCGGGGAGGCACACTGGAGGTCATAGGGCTTCTTCCCTCTAACGTGGCCCGGGTCTCCACTGTTAGCGGCTCTCTTGGCTGAAAGGTGCGTGCGGGAGCGCGTGTATGCGCATGTGCGCTGTGTGGGTGTGGCTGTGTGGCTGCGCTGAGTGTTGGGGTCAGCTTCCCGGCCCTGTGCCCCCAGCTCTGACCCATCCTATGACTCCCGCACAAGCCCCCAACTCTTCTTTATTTCGGATGGGGCTTCCTAACCATGTCCTATGGTGGCACCGAGTTACCCCATCCCGGGGTCAGAGGTGACACCGCTGCGGCCAGAAGAGAGCAGCCTGGCAGTCCAGCTGCCCCCCAAAGCCCTCGGGGCTGAGGGCTGCACAGCAGCCTCTGGCTTCGGACTCTGGCCAACCGGATGCTCAGACTCAAGGTAGGACCTCCCTCTGAGAGAAACAGAACCAACGCAATTTGCTCAAGTGACATATTTCAATATAATCTCTAAAACTCTATGAATTGAACAGATAAAATACCTCTGGGCTATTTTGTTACAAAATATTTGCCATTTGGATTCATCGCTGGGTGCAGCCATCCTGCCTTTCCCTAGAGAGGTTTCTCTCCAATGAGGAGAAGGGGCAGATGCGGGGGGGGCGGTGCTGGAGCGGGTGGGGAGGATGTTTAGCAAGAAGGTCTGTACAGCAGGACACAGGGACAGATGGACAGATGGCTACCAGGGAAGCCTATTGGACGCAAAGAGACATTCTGGCAGGCTGTGGGGGAACGGGGTTCAGTCGGGGTGGGGGGGCTGCCCAGGGCCCAGCTCTGATTGATAGGTGTGTCTTGGAGACTAGCAGGCTTCCAGGCCAAGCTGCCAGGGTGGGGACTTCCAGCTCCAGTGGGGGACTTGCACAAAACTGTGTGGGAAAGCTGCTAATCGTTCCCACTCCTGCTTCTGAAGCTGGGGCCGGATGGATACCACTGAGAGGGGGCCCAGGTCCCCTAAAGTAAGGCCTAGAGAGCTGATCCAGTGGGTCTACCCTGGAGTGGGGGTAGGCCCACTGGAGTCATGGGGTGGGCCCACCTGGGGTCATGAGGGGGCCCACCTGGGGTCACGGGGGATGTGCCCAGGACGCTGTGTCTGGGGGCCCAGTCAGCACTCCACTGCCCGCCCCCCGCCCCACTGCCTCAGAGAGCAGGGAGCCATAGTGCACCTCCAGCCGGGCCCTCTGGGAGGGCTGGGCCCTGACGCTGCCATGGGGAGGAGCAGGCTTGTCCCACGTCTCTGGGGACAGGGAATGAGGTGGGTCCCAACCTCAGCTTGTTAGCTGATCGGAGGAGGGCAGTTAGAGCCAGTGGGAAGTCTGGCTTTTCTGACAGTGAGGGAGGCCATCAGGAATTAAAAGCCCCTCAGATCCCAGGCTTGGCTCCAGGTTCCGCTGACCCCAGGCTGATCTGCCTCCTAGGCCAGGCCTCCCTGCGCTGCCAGTGGGGCCCAGGGAAACCACCCCAGTGACAGTGGGTAAGCCCCTACCCGGGGAAGGGACCCTGTGACGCCTGGGCGTCTGGTCTTCAGGGAGAGGCTCCAGGCATGGTTTCAGCCCTAAGACCTTTGCTGGGCCCGGCCTGGAAAGTCAGGGCCACAGCAGAGCTGGGACGGGGGTTGGTGTGCCTGTCAACAGAGAGGAGGGCACTTTCCACCAGAAGCACTGTGTGGGCAGGTAATAGGGGTCCAGCAGTTGTGATGGTGCCCCTTCTCAGCGCTCCCTGGCACTCACGGTCCCTACCGAGTGAATACACTTAGCCATCTCAGAGCTCCTGTTCCTTCCTAAGGCAGCCTCCCTGCCACCCAGCGTAACTACCGCTCGCTTTCGGCCTGGCCCCTCTTTCAAGGTTCATCCACTCCCCCCACTGAGTCCCCCCAACCCTGACTCCTGCTGTCTAGGCCTGCATTTTTTTAAGGGCAATCCCTGCCTTGGTCAAGGGCACCAGAGGTGACTGAATCTGTGGGCTCCATCTGTCAGCCACTCTGCTCTGAAGGCTGTGACTGTAGCCACCTGTTACAGGAAAGGCATGGGGGGGTGGTGGTGGCAGGGAGAGACAAGTACAGGAGATCAGCTGGGCAGCCACCCGGGGAGGAGGCGGCAAATTGGTCACAAGTTATGGAAACGGGGCTGACAAAGACAGAGCCAGAAATAAACTCACTGGGTGACATCATGTGACGTCTGGGTGACCGCACACACACATTAGAAACTAGGTCATCTGGAACCTCTGAGAGTGGGGGAGGACGCTGCGTCTCCTAGCTGGCTCGGGGCACTCCCTCTGGGGCACGGGGTAGGCGTCAGGGAGACGCAGATTCACTTTAGCCCTAGCCAATAGTCCCTTCCATGTCTTGGCAGGCTTTGCTAATGGGCTCCAAGTGGGAGGGGATCTTAATGAAGGACAGCAATGAACTCTTGGCACAGTACTGGAGAGTCCGGCCTGACTTGGGACAGATACTTCCTGAAAGGACTGGGATGGGGCAGGCCACGGTAGTGCCCAAGGGCTTTGAGGCCAGGCTGCCTCGGCTCCGCGGGGCCTCACAAAAGCAGACACTCTGATTCTGGTGGGCCCAGGTCAGCAGGCAGTGAGCCCTGCTCGGCTCTCCTGTGCAACTGTGATGGTGTGAGGGCTCTTTCAGCCGTGCCTCCTGGAGGCAGGTCTGTTGCCTTCCTGGAGGAGGCACGGGGAGCAGGATTTAAAGGCTGCTGGGCTGGTTGGGGATGGCAGCAGGAGGAATGCCAGTGCCTTTACAGCATCTGCTTCTGTCGCCTGCTTCTGTCTCCAAACCTCTCAGGGGGGCTGCGGCAGGCATTCCAGAAGGAACCCTGACTTAGGTCTGAATTCTACCTCTGCCTGCTGTATCCGTCCCTTGGGCAATCACCACCACTTTTCCGTGTGTCTGCTTCCAGGCTGGAAGAGCCTGGCTCAGATGAGTATGTTTAAGTCTTCACTTCACCTCTGCACTTTGTCTTGGCTGGGCACCATCTGGGACTAGAGAACTAAGAAACTCTTTTAAAAGGTGTGTATTGTGGCTATATGGCCTCACAATTCCACAGCTCTGCTGATGGGCTCCCTTTCCCTCTTAACTTCAGAACTTTCCTGAAGTCTGAGAAGCCCCGGACAGGCAGGGCCCAGCTCCTGAGAATGTGGGAGAAGGCCCTAGGAGGAGGGGGAGGATGTGACCCGGACAGCCAACATCCCTGGGGGTTAGGGGATCAGCTTGGGGGCTGCTGAAGAGGAAGCCTCCCACCCCTTGCTTTCCCAACCTGGCCTGAGGCCTGGGACCCGACAGACTCAGGGTCGGGAAGCCAGTTAGGCCCTCGGCTCCTGCCTTCTTCAGTCTGGGGCCCAAGGGGCCAGAATGGTAGCAGGAGGAAGGGGTCCCTTGCTGTGTCGGGCCCCAGGAGAGTGAGGTGGTGTGTCCAGATTAGGGGGAAGGGGTGCTCAGACCAAGGGAAGCATGGTGGGCGAGGCCATCCCAGGCGCCTGGGATTGGGAATCTCTTTCCAAAATGATGGTGAGCAGTGGCCAGGAGTGCATTGTGCCGTAGTGTGGGGAGCAGCGAACAAGGGTGTGTTGGGGTTGCTGGGGGCAGCTAAGGGCCCCCCCACCCCCACCGGCCAGCCCTTCCAGGACAGCAGTGCAGTGGGGACCAGAGTCTACACTAGGCTCCTGGAGCCGCTGGAGTAGCGGCGCCGGTGCAGCAGGGAACCGGGCGGGCAGTACTGGTGGGGGTGGTTGTATGGGGGTGGGGGCGGGGGCAGCGGAGGCTGGTGGGTGACCTTGACGGGGGAGCCTGGGCCACCCAGGGGTGTGGAGCCACAGGAGTCGGAGGAGGACGAGGCGTAGCAGGAGAGGGCCTGGCTCAGCAGGGGCTCCATGCGGGCCAAGCAGGGCTTGTCCAGGACAATGACCTTGACAATCTGCTGGCACTGCACCAGGGTCCCAGGGGGTGTGGGTGGCAGCGGCGGCAGCAGCGGGGGCTGCTCCCTCAAGGGGCTAGGCTGCGGGTCTGGCGGCGGCGCTGGCGCTCCCCTCTCGGCCCCCAGCCTGGGGTTGTGCTGAGACGTTTGAAGCCTGTTGTGAATTGACACCTAGTTTAGAAACAGCCAGAGAAGCATGAAATGTTATAAGACTAATTCCCAGCTGCTAGGACTGGCTACCCTGAGCCTCCCTCCCCAGCCCTTTCTCGTCTCCTGGGCCCCTCGGCTGCTTCCAGCCCTCACCTCTAGCCGCGCTGGCTGCCTCCCTACCGGCCTGGAGGAACTCTGGCTGCGATACAGAAGGGCCGCCCCCCCTTGTGGTCCAGAGAGCTCGGCTCTCAGGCCTGTCTCCTCACCTGGGGCTCTGCAGGCTTCTGCAGTCACATCTCACGGGTAAACCTCTCTCCACTTCCCTCTCTACTAACCTCGGAGCTTAGAAAACAGGGCAATGGTCTTTGCCCTCTCCCTGCCTCCCAGGGCTGTGGCAAGGACAAACAGAGACCAGACACAGGGACAGTCCATCATCTTTGAGCCTCTCAAGCCCCCTCCTCCCTTTGTTAAAGGGGAAGCTTCACCAGCCCTGTCGAATCACAAAGGTGCCCAAACCCAGAACACTGGGGGCCTCTGAAGGGACGATCTGGACCTACCCTGTTCTCCTAGATTTCCCCAAGGCCAAAACCATGAATCTAAAAGCAACCCAGATAGCCAAGGCCAGAGCTCAGTCCCCAGCTGCCTTTCTGGGCCAGCCTGCATCCTGGTTAAATTTGTCCCACTGCAGGAGAGGGTCCCCAGAAAGGACTCGAATCGTTATGCCCTCCCTCGACCCATGGAGGTCACTCTGAACCAACCTGGCCTCCTCTCGCTAGCAGGGGGAGGTTGAGGAAATGGGAGAAAAGGAGCTCAAGCCTTCTGGGGGGTGGGATGTCTTTAGTTCCTCACCTTCCAGCTCCCCAGCCTGTAGGTATGACATTGCCACCATCCCCTTCTGACCCCTGGCCCTCTGAGGTGGCTGACACCTTTCACTCTGAGACATTCTACTGTTCTTGGGCCACCACCACCCAGGATGGGCTCTCAGAGCACAGAGGGGGACATCAAGGCTGGAGTGGAGGAGCCCTGATTGCCAGGTCTAGACCAAGATGCCCATCTCAGAGCTGTACACCAGGGGTTCCTAACCGAATTTATTGGCACAGGATACAATTTCTGGGACCCCCCCCCTTCTGGGCCCGTGCACTCCCCATGGGCTGCTTCCCTCTCCACAGTCCCCCAACCCCCCTCCCCCCGTCCCTCGGTGCTCTGCTGAGACACAGGGTAGGCAGAGGGCATAGCTGGGACCCACCTTCTTCTTGGGGAGCCCTCTGCCGTCCCCACTCTGGCAGAAGGCTTCTGCCCTCCACTGCTGGAGGGGACCAGCTTCTTTCTCCACCTGCCTGTATTCTGAGTTACTCCCCAGGAGAAAAGTGGCCTAGAGAGTGGGGGCAGGCCTTCTGCTCTCCTGCTCCCCCAGATTTTACAGCTGGTGTCTTGCTGCCCTAGTCCAGACCCACTGGACTTCCTTTTCCTCCTCCTGGCCCGCACCCCTCCCCCACGCAGCCCACAGCTCTTGGCTCATCTCCGCCCCCTCATCACCTCTTACTTTCCGTCCCCCACCCCACTGCCTGCCCCTCCCGCCTCTCCACCCCAGCGTGGATTCCTTATCTTTAATGGTCAGTAAGTGAGAAGCAGGAAGTGACAGCAAAACATTTCATTCTGACCCCCTTCTTACCTCCCTGCTAATGGAAGAACGGGGGGGGGGGGGGGAGAAAGAGAAAGAGAGAGAGAGAGAGAGAGAGGGAGGATGGATCATGAGTAGCAGGTCAGAACAGCTCAGAGAAGATGGAGAAGCACCTGCCAGAGGGGCTCGGCCAGGCAGTGCCGGAGAGAGGGCAGAGGACGAGAGAGCTTGGGGTCCAGCTGAGAGGCTGGGGGCAGCGAGGCTGCCCTCTGTGCAGGGGAGCAGAGGCTGGCAGGGCCCTGGGGCTAGCTGGGGATGGCAGCCTTGCAGATAGCCACGTGGCCCTCTGGCAGGGTGGGAGGGGAGGACCGGCCATCAGACGGCTCGTGCTCCCTAGGCAGGCCAGGCTAAGGCAGGGCAGAGCTGGGAGAACAAACCGGAGGGCTGGGAGCCTTGTGTGTTTATCTGCAAGGCTAGAGAATGGGCAGCTGCAGGAAGATGGGGAGAAGAGGGGGCACGGGATGGGATACCCACCCTGGGGGCTTGTCAGCTGCTGGGGCAGGAAGCTCCTCCGTGTAAAGGTGCCTCCTCCAGACACAGGTGTGTGGGGGGTGGGGGCCGTGGGAAAAGAGGGAAGAAGCTGGGCTCCCCTGGGGCATCATGGTGGGCAGGCTTCTCCCTCCCTCTAAGTGGGGGCTCCTCCAGCTTGGGGTAGGGCTGGGAAAGGAGGTGTCTGTGTGTGAGAAGCTACATCCCTAGAGGCCTGGCAAAGGAGTGAGGGGTTCACTGGGGTGGGAGGGGAGCAATGGGGGAGGACTGGGGCCCAGTGGAGCTTATAGGGGGCACTAAATAGGGCCCCCACTTGGGGGCTTGGCAAGGACTAGCTGCGGCGGCTACCTCCCCAGCCTCTCCCTATGTGGCTTGGGAGGGCATCCCCCTCCCACGTGGGGAGTCTTCGGATACCTCTGCTGTCCCCCCAGGGAAATCCCCAAGGTGATCCAACCCTGCTCTCCCTCACTGGCTCCCACACGCACCCCTACGCCGTGGCCCGCTTTCCAAATGGACGGGTGGGTCCAGGGAGGAGCTCCCCACTCTCAGCTGCCCCCTGTCTCTATGTTCTCCAACTGTCCCAAGAGGCAGCTGGGCAGGCAGGGTCCGCACCGGAAGCGGTCCCTAGGGCTGGACATGAGGGGTGAGTCTCCGGAGGGGCCCAAGCTCCCTCCTGTGGGGGACAGACACCCCATGGGGAAGGGACCCGTGGCTTCCCTGCTAGAGCATGTATTAGGGGCTCAGTGAGCAGTCTGCTGGGGAGGTGGTTTGAGGGGGCTGTGAGCAGAGTCACTACGGAAGCGTCATGGGCATCGTCTGCAGGTGTCAGTCTGGGAGCTCGGCCTCGGAGAGCACGCGGCCAGGGAATGGGCAGAAAGGGCTGTGGCTTAATTAGGCGCTGGAACAGTGGCATTACCCATGCTAGCAGTAACTTTTAATTGTATCTCTTGAAATTGGTAAAATGGTGAGTCGGGCTGGGGAGGCATTGATTAATACCTGAGAAGAGAAACAACAGAGACAGTGAGAAGAAGGACAAGCAGGGGCTCGGAATCACTCACCTGGGCGACCAGGCGTCCACTTACCTCCACCGTGCTCTCCACTGGCTTCTCCCCCAGCGCCGCTTCCCTTTTGGCTTTGAATGCAAAGAGCACAGGGCTCACTCTCTACCCAGCCCAATACAAATAAATTCCTGCCTTTCCCAGCCACCGCTCCCCCGCCCCCCACGCCCCCTGATACCAAGCATCCTTGCAGTTAGCCGGTGTGGACAGAAGACTCCGGGTATCGTGCTACTCCTGACTGGGACGCAGCCCCAGGGCGGTGGACCTGAAGGCAGAGCCCAGTTCTGCCCCTTGGTTGCTGTGTGACCTTGGGCATGCAGACTACAGGATCTCTGATGGTTTTTATGTGGGCATTGTTGAGTCTTTCACCCATGGTCAAAGCCTCCCCAATAGGGACAGTGAAAGTCAGTTTCACGGTGCCACTGGCTCTCAGAAACGCAGGGAGTCTCCGCTATTAACCTGTCCCTGACCAGTGCAGGCCCCTTGAGGGAGAGGCAGTGTTCCTTTTGTGTTCCTATCCCCGCTACTTAGCTCCGTGGTGCGGATTCAGTAAACTGAGGCCCGTACAGGGCCTGGCATGGGAAGTGTGGCTGTTTGAGCTCTACAGGGCATTCTGACTGGCGTGGCACAGCACCAGGAACCCTGCAGACCTCCAGGGACAGTGTGGTGGCTTTCTCTGGCTCAGTCACTCCCGGCTGTCTCCCTGGCCCTCGTCAGGCCTCCCACAGCCCCTTCGGGGAGCCCCTCTGACTGCTGTGTGCCCATGTATGTGTATGTGTGTGTCTGTGCGTGTGCGCAAGTACCCTTGCTGTGTCCATCTCTCTGCTTTCTGTAGCGCAAGAGGGAGCTATGCCATTGTTTGGGACCAAGGAGAACCCCAAGCAGGAGGTGACTGATGGACCAGGCCCTGGAGACAGGCATCCTGGACTGACCAGGGGGTGCAGCTTCCAAAAGAGGCAGGCTGGGCTGCAGAGTGGGGTGGGATGTCAAGTAATTAATCACAGCTGAGGCATGGCTCCGGAGTTTACACAGCTGTGCAAACAAGCAGTGACCCGAGTACTGTGACCTGATAGAAATGGAGGGGCTGGCTGGAAACTCAGGCCGGGTGGAGAATTATGAATGCGCGATGTCAGGCCAAACCCACACGCGGAAGATGACGTCACAGTGAGAATCCCCATGCAGCTAAAGGAGCCTCAGGTCTTGCTTGGGAAAGGAATCGCATCTCCAGAGTGACCGAGGCCTGTGATGCCGTCTGTCCCAGCATCGTGGTGTCATGGCTGTCACCGAGGGCTGGGGCCCAGCATGAAACCCACCAGAGTGTCTCGGCTCAAGCCGTGGTCTTGCTGGAACCCTGGTCTTCTAGTGCTTAGCAGGGGGCACACGGCAGGCACTTGATAAGTGTTTGTTAAATGTAAGAATAAATGGCTGAATTAATTAACCAGTGAACAGTTCTGGATGGTTTACTGGAGGTCTGTTGGGATGGGAGTTCATTCTTACGCCATCTCGGCCTCTGATTTTTATTTGGGACCGCAGAGTGGGGGTGGCAGTGATACTTCTCTCTGTGGTGGGTGGCGGTAAGGTGAAGGCCAAGAGGTAGAAAGTAGGAAGATGTCAGTGGCAGAAAGGAAGCAGGTCTAGAGAACATGGCCAGAACTGATAACAAAATCTGAAACCGGCTTGAGTTGTCTGGAGTGAATAAGTCAATCTGAAGAAACCATTGGGGAAAATGGGTTTAAAGGTTTATGTTGGGTTGGGCTGACTCTTCTGGCCTGGAGCACTTGTGGCTCATTAGGTAAAAGACTTGACTGGCAGACCAAGATTTCCAGACCCTTCTGCCATCCTCCTTACTGGGCTCCCATCATAGGCAGTAATTTTTCTCAAGCTGTTTCTCTTTATTACACCTCCCACCCCCCAGTGAACCCCAGCAGTCCCCGGGGAGTCTGGATGCAGGGTGGGTGCGTGCATGGGAGGCTCCCCCACTGGGGCCAGGCATCTGGGCTCTTGGCCCGACTTCTCTAGGGAGGATAGTGACATTTCACAGGGACCCAGGGCCTCAGGGCAGCATGTAAATGGACACATTCCTCCCTCGTTGTCCTCCTCACTCCCACTACTAAGGCCCGTGAGATTAGCCTGGAGCTCTGAGCAGAAAGAAATGACCATGGGAATGAGCACTTCCCTCATCCCAATTCCCCAGGAACCCAAGGCTGGGGGTGGAGAGTGGCCTCCCTGTGGGCCCAGGGCCATCACAGGCCTGGGATTTGGGACTCCAGAGTGGAACCAGGGCTCACCTGTAGGCGATCCTTGCTTTGACTGCGGGTCCACCTGCGCCCCGCTGGACTTGAAGGAGAGCGTCTTTGCTCCCTGCTGCTTCTCCAGCTCCCCTAGAGGATGGAGAGGAACCCAACCTCAACCACAGTGAGATGGGAGAGGAGTGAGGAGAGAGCAGGGAGGAGGGCTGCTCCCTGACCCAGGCTCTAACATGTGGCCCGAGTCTGGCACCCTCTTCACAGCAAGTTAGAGACCCACTAGAACCTCAGTTTCTTCCTCTGTCTGTGGGGATGCTAACGGCTGCTTGATTGTCATAGAGGCAGCAGAAGAGGCGGAGAGGGCAGCGGGCAGTCTGGGTTTGAATCCTGGTTCTGGGACTTCTTAGCTGTGTGGCTATGGGCAATTTACTTAACCTTTCCATGCCTCATTCAAGGGGACAGCCGTGCTCACTTCCAAGTGTGGTTAAGCGGATTACAAGAGGAAATGCACCAAAGCCCTTTAGGAGATGGCCCAGCTCATGGCAAGTGCTCAGTGGATCTTAGCTTTTATGACAACGCAGACGAATCACCTGGCACAGAGGACCTCAGTGACGGCTGGGGCCAGCCTGCGTCCTTTGCACCGGATGGGAAAGAGCCCGCCCAGCTGGCTGAGCTGCCCCAGAGAGGAGATTCCCCACCTGAGAATGTCGGTGCTCCTCAACCCCCAGGACACCCGCCTTGCCCTCAACCTTGATTCCTCTCACTACACTGTAAGCCTGGTCCAGACATGATTCAATCACTGCTTCAGGGTCTCTCTTCTAGGAGATATAACTCAGGTTCCTTTTATTAAATCTGCTCTCCTGGGTCCCATTTTCTGTGTCCCTAGTTGTCTATAATCCAGGGCCCTGGACTGCAAACCTCCAAGCCAGCACAGGTTGTCCTGACTGCCTGAATCACACCATCAGTCCATACTTCATACTTCTGCTGAGCGGAGGGTTGTCTCTCCCCAGAGAGGGGCTGTCTTGGCTTTGGAGAAATTAGCATCGTAATTATAAGCAGGGATTCCAAGGAACTTGGTGCAAATCTTGTTTTGTCACTGACTGTATGAACTTGGACAACTTCCTTCAGCTTGGTCCCTTATTTGTAAAATGAGGACAAGCCTCCCTGCCTCACGGGCAGTGGTGGCAAGGATCAGATAACAGAAGAGGGCTGGCACGCAGCCCAGCGCCGGGCATGGAATAAACGGTGGCTCTGCTGTTTCCATTTTCCTTTGTCTATTTCCTTCCCTCCCTGCCTCCCTGGCCCATGCTTCATCTTTTCTTAGCTGTTGCTTCCCCTTCTCTGCATCTGAAGAGGAAAAGCCAGACGCGAGTGAGCCTCTCTCCCTGCTCCCCTGCCCTCTGGGCAGCAGGGAAGGACATTGCTCTTGACAGACTGATTCTGGCAATATCTACTCCTTTGTGCTTTGGGAGGGCTGGGTATGCTGCTCCCGGGCAGGTGGGGGCAAAGGGGCCTCTTCCAGCAACCGCACTGTGCCTCCCCGGGGCGGGGCAGAGCCATCTGTAACGTTTTGACAATGACAGAAGTGACCTTTCAGGGTGTGTCCTTGAGAATGTTCAAGATCAGCAGCCAAGGTGGCATGTCGGAGCCTCCGGTCCTGCCGCTGAGCTCAAGAATGCCAGCAGAGCGCAGCAGCAGAATTTACACCCCCTCCACCTCCGAGCCCTACAGTCTGGGCTGGTGGGCTCCTCTTCCAACCTGACTGAGCTGTTTCCTTATGTTATTATAAACGGAACCTCTTTCGTCAACGTTAGAGTAGAAAGTACATGAACCTCAGAAGCAGACCTAAATGCAAGTGCCACGTCTACTTCTAAGATGCCCGATGTTAAACACATCCCTAACTTCCCCGGAGGCTGGTCTGTAAACTGGGGACGAGCACCACCTTGCAGCATCACTGTGAGCGCTGTAGGCAAACTGCCCAGCACGTAGTAGGTGCTCCAAAAACACGGATTAAAAAGCACCGGCCTGTCCCGTTGCTGCCCTGCCCCCAAAGTCCCTCTGCTTTTCCTATTGCCTAATGGGTTTAAGTTAATTTAGAAGCACTTTCCAACAAACTGACCATAGAAGGCAGACCCGAAATCTATCTGCTCTTTTTGTTTCTGAATCCACGGTTGTTTGATTTCCCATGAAAGGCAGTCTGAAGCCAAGGGCGATGTCACAGCAGGAAAAGCTTGCGAGTGGGCCCAGCTTGTGGGCCCTCGCTGCTCCCTTCCTCAACCACCAAGTTACCTGGCAAACCACCTTCCCCTCCAGAGAGGCCCACGGAGTTTCTAAAATGCCTGAATTGGAGCACTCAGGAATCCAGGCATTCCTTAGGGGAATCAAAAGACAGCTCCTAGATGAGGGAGAGTCAGAAAACCAGGCAGGACCCTTCAAAAAGACCATATGGTGAAAAAATAAAGTCGGGGGACGATTCTAGATGAGAAGAGATGAACGAAATGAAGCAGACAGATGTAAGGTATGAGCCAGACTGGATCCCGGGGTCTGTGTCTCCCCTGGGCACACAGACCATCGAGGCTGGCATGGCTGCCTCGCTCGGCCGGCTCAGCCTCGCTGGTCAGACACAGCCGGTCCTCAGCTCCCAGGGGTCCACACGCAGCCCCACAGCCTGGTGGGTGTGCACACGGGTGTGCGCACTCTAGCAACCCCCAACTTCAATTGTGAAGAAACGGGAGCAGATGCAGTGAGCCTGGAGTGGGGCTCAGAAGACGGGAGGGGCCTCGGCTCATCCCACCGCATTCACTCCAGGGCGGGGCCAAGAGTCAGACTCCTGCCACAAGCAGCCTCCATTCCCTGTGGACGGGGAGCCCACCCACCCGCCCCGCCGTGTGCCCCCACCCCTCGTGGCCCTTACACTCTATCCGGATCTGCTCGAGCTCTGTCACCTCAGCGATGGACTCCTTCAGATCTTCCACAAACTTCTGCATCTCGTCCGAGCCCAGGGCACAGAAATGCAGCACTTGCTTCTTCTCAGAGCCCGAAAGTGGGGTCACCAGGGTGATGCCGTGAGAGTAGTCTGGAAAGGAGACCCCAGGCCCACGTGATCGTGAGCAACAGCAGGGGAGGCTAGAGGCAGCCCCGTGGGGAGAATGACCAGGGACTTTGGGACCCTTGTCCCCTCTCTCCTCCCTCCAGCCTCCAGCTTTCCCCTCCAAAACTCCCTCTGCCATGTCTCCGGGTCTGCAGGAGACTTACACTCGTTCTCAAAGAGATGGAACTGCATGCCCAGCAGGCCGACTGATTTGCAGAAGGTGTATGTGGAGGAGCTCTTCTTCTTTGGGCAAAGCTTCAGAATCTGTTCAGAGAGGGACAGAGACAAGCACTGACAGCGCACGTGTGTGTGTGCGCTCGGATGCACACACACACGGGGCACTGGGGAACACACGAGTGCATACAAAGAAATGTGAACACGCTTGCACACTTGCATACTTAGGATACATTCACACACATTCACATGTTTCTCTATACGCACACGCATACACATTGCTATGTATGTGTCCACACACATATACATGCGTGTATACACATGTATATAAATACACACTATCTCAAAATATGGTGTTTTTTTAACTTGCTAAACTCCTCAGTGGCTCTTCCCACCACAGTTAGAAGAAGCCAGCCCACACTCCCTGCCTCTCCCCATCTTTTCCAGGCCTCACTCTGGCTTTATGCTGGGTCCTACTGTCCTCCTTTCCGTGGCCTGAATAGGGCAAGCTCAGTCCCCCTGCAGGCCCTTTGCACATGCTATCTCGGGGCCGCAACCCTCCCTGCAGCTTTTTGCATGGCTGGGTTACTCTCATTACTTACATCTCAACTCAGATGTGGCCTCCTTAGGAATCCCCTCCCTGAGTAGCCCAAGTAACAAACAGAAACAAACTGCACCAAATCCCCCCTCATCATGGCTTGCTTTCATCCCACCTTCTTCCCAATTTGATAATATCTTGTTAATTTCTTAGTTATTTCCTAACTATTTCCTAGGTATCTCCCTCCCCCAAGGAAAATGGAAACTTAGCCAGTTGCTCAATACACAAATGCTTCCTCAGTGCCCTTCCTCCAGCTGGGCCCTGGAGACACTGGAGCCACCAAAAGAGAGAAATAACTACAGCATTCTGAAGGAGGTCCCCAGGGACAGGGCTGAGGCTGAGGAGGGGCCGCAGGCTGCCCCGGCCTGGCCAGGCCACTCACCACCAGCAGGTCGTTGAAGAGGAACACCTCCCTCTGATGCGCGGCCTGTTTCTGCAGCTTGTTCACATCTGTCACCTCGAAGAGACGGCTGCAGCAGACCAGGCGGCGGTGGGGCACAGACAGCACCTGGAGCAAGGGCGTGGCCATTGAAAAGAGCTTCCAGGTTGTTCAAATATGGCTGCCATCGACCCGTTTCCCTCTAAGACTTCTGGAGGGCCCCCCCACGACCCAGGCTGCCAGCTGCAGGGCTGTACCTCCGTCCCCTTGCCCCCTGCACACCAAATCCTAGTGTGCCGGAGGGAGGGGATGGCGGGGAGGCCTTGGATCTGCCATGTGTAACAGTCTACTGCAGCGGCACCCGCAGACCAGGCAGATGCTGAGACCTCGGCAATGGAGGTGCCTGGGGAGCTCAGTCAGTTAGTTCAGCGTCTGCCTTTGGCTGAGGTCATGCTAGAGGGGTCCTGGGATAGAGTCCCACATTGAGCTCCCTGCCCAGTGGGGAGTCTGCTTCTCCCTCTCCCAGTCCCCCTGCTTGTGCTCTCACTCTCTGTCAAACTAATAAATAAAATTAAAAAAAAAAAAAAAAAAGACCTCAGCAATCAAGGCTCTGGGCAAAAAGGGCCATCCCAGAGCAGAGGAGCCCAGTGCAGAGCTCAGATGACATCTCCATGCTGCTTCTGGGTCAGCAATTTAGGAGGAGAAAGTGGAAACAAATACCAGAACCCACTCTACATCCTTTATATTTATGGCATGAACAGCCTCTGCCGATGTGTGAGTAGTAAACTATAGAGCGTCATTACCAGCTTGGACCATATTGCCTGTGACATAGGTCATAACTGAGGGGCAGCCAGTGGTTGGGACACCAGAGTCTAGAAGGCTTTTCAGCTCTTTCCTGTCTTCTGTTCAGTAGGACCATTCAGGAACACTCAGCATCCCGCCCTTCCTTAGTCTCCCCATCAGGCCATCCGGATGCTTCAACCCTAGATCACTGGCCAGTCTTTCCCAACACCTCACCTCAGGCCCTCCTGCTGTGGTGGCTGGTAGCCACGAGGAAATGAGGCTAGAGGAAACGGCGGGGGGTGCGGTGGGTGCCACATAGTGGGAATTCAATCACTATGAAGTGAGCAAATAATGTAAAAGTGTTTCAGAAAGGGAAGGAGGAGAATGGGAGGAGATGTCACACAGGAGACAGAAGCAGGTTCAAGGTGGGGGGCTTGGCAGCCATGGGAGGGGAAGCGACCCCCATGGGGTGAGTGCTGTTCTTTGGGGGGCACTTACTGTCTTCATGCCCACGATGGACTTCTCCACCTTGGTGACATACGTGACGTGGTCCTCATTGGACTTGAGCTCCTTCTGCTGTATCCTTTCGTAGATGCCTACCACCAGCTCCCTGGGGATGTCGGCACCATCATCGACACCTACCAGCAATGGAGAGGGAAAGTAAGGTCAGGGAGGCGGTGGAGGGAGAGAGGGTGGTATTAGAGACCAGGAGCCAGAGAGGGGAAACCCTACCAGACTGAGGCTCTTCAAGGGTGGCCTTGATTTTGCCCAGTCCCTGTTCCAAAGCCTTCAGTGACAAGTCCCTTCACCTACTGAATTAAGGACAGACTCCTGAGCCAGGCACCAGAATACTATAATATAACACACATTGCAGCCTCATATCCTGCTGTTCCATGACCAGAACCTCCATTCCCCGATCCCACCTCTTTCCCCGTCCCCAAATACAGCCTCCATGCTCCTGCTCAGCTCCTTGCTTCTGTAGTTCTCTTATCCTCCGTGCATTTGTCTACCCCCACCCCGCTCCCTGTTCCCACCATGAGAGTCTCTTGACAGCTGATGTTCTAGCTTGTTCTCTCTTGGATCTCCTCCCTCTTGGACCCTCCGCACCCCTCCACACGGAGGCCTGGTGCCCCATGATTAGTTGCTGCATGTATGACACAATTCTTCCCTCACTGGGAGTGTGGGAGGTGGTGGTAGTTAGACATCAGGTGAAGAGAAGCGGAGGAGACCTTACGTCCATCTCCTACTTCACAGTCATTACACTCCGGCAACAAAAAAATACTAGCACGAAATTGACCAGCATGGAAGCAAATTTCTTCAGGAGGTAGAAAGAGAGGCAATAAAAAATTTCTTCTTTCTACCTTTTCTAAAGCTTTTTTTTTTAAATGACTATATGTTTCTCTTACAAGAGAGAAAAGTAGAAAATAAAGCAACTTTGGCAAGTGTGCTCAAAGGAGATTTCCTAATTTAGTGAGAGGATATTATACCTTCTCCAAGCATCTCTTTGTATCAACCTTGTTTCTTCCCCATTTGACCTTGGTTCTTCAAGTCAGGCACATTAGCCATGCAGCACCCCTGGGGACCTAAAAGGCATCAGGCTGGGGGCAAGAAAGAGCAAGGACCAAGACTGAACCCACAGAGGCTCCCAGCTGAAGACGGCAGGTCACACATCTCTGTTCCTCCTTAACATTCTGGTCAAAGGGAGGTTTTTTTAAAAGAGGGCAGGGAAGAAACAATGGCACCACGTGACCTGGGAAGTGGACTAATGAGCCGGACTGGCAAATCTGAGAGAGTGGAATGTGAAGCCAGCAGCAAGTTAGAAGCCACTCCGTACACCACAGAACCACCAAAGGGCTCTGGAATGGTGGCAACAGGAATCCTTGAAAGTGGAGGTAAAGTCAGGCTGGACATAGGATCATAGCTCGATCGTCAGTCTAGAAAGCATTTAGATCTCCCTGTCCCTTCTTCCACTCTGGCAGCCAACCAAGGGTTAGATTTCTGCAAGAGGTGAGATAGGAACTCTGTGCAGGGGGCGGCGGGGGGACCCCAAGCCCAGCCAAAGGTGGGAGTCCGTGCTGAAAACTGGGGCATGGAGTTGATGTCTATGCATTAAGAGACCCTCTCAGTCCTATTGACCCAGAAGATCTCAGAACGTAGGCAGCCAGACTCATACCCTCTGGGCAACAGATCAGACGTTTCTCTTCTGAGAAATCAACAGGCAGAAGAGAAAAATCTAAAAATGCTGCCGTAGGGGTCCCTCAGTGAAGCAGCTCAACTAAATCACCCTATGAGAAAGACCACTGGTCAGCAGCTCCCGCCTATATATACATATATATTTATATATGCATATATATATATGCATATATATATATATTTAAAGATTGTACTTATTTGTTTGACAGACAGAGATCACAAGTAGGTGGAGAGGCAGGCAGAGAGAGAGGAGGAAGCAGGCTCCCCGCTCAGCAGAGAGCCAGATGTGGGGCTCGATGCCAGGACCCTGAGATCGTGATCTGAGCTGAAGGCAGAGGCTTAACCCACTGAGCCACCCAGGCACCCCATACTTATAGTTTTTAATCAGCCTTTTAGCTCATTCTTAAATATGAGAGAACAACCAAGTTTCATCATGTATATATATATAAAGTGTATAAAGCAAAAGAGAAAAAGGACAGGGAATCAGAAAAAGGAAGCCAGAAGAAATAGAGACAAGCAGGGAGAAACTGAACTAAATAAATACCATCAGAGACATGTAAGAAGACACCACATCTAAAAAACAAGAGTAAAATCCTAGAAAAGAGGAAGCTTTTGAGAACAAAATGTTCTTGAAAATGAAAAATATGACAGGAAAGGTGAAAACCTTAGGAGGAGACTTGGAAGACATCTTCAAGAAAGTCCAGCAAGGGGCACCTGAGTGGCTCAGTGGGTTGAGCATCTGCCTTCAGCTCAGGTCATGATCCCAGGGTGCCAGGATCGAGTCCCGCATTGGGCTCCTTGCTCAGCTGGGAGCCTGCTTTTCCCTTTCCTCCCAGCTCCTGATCTCTCTCACTGTCTCTGTCTCAAGTAAATAAAATCTTTAAAAAAAAAAAAAAAGTCCAACAGGAAGACAAAGATGACAAATAGAAAGCTGTAAAAATTAGAAGATCAAACTAGGAGATCTAACATCCAGAGTTCCAGAAAGCACAGAGAAAACGAAATGGGGTGATGATCAAATACTCTATTTAAGAAAACTTCCCAACAATTGGAGGACATTATTTCTAGACTAAAGGATCAACCCAGTGCTAGCACAAGAGATGAGAAAAGAACCATAAAGAAACTCACCAGTTTGAAGAGATATCTGCAACCCCAGGTCCACCGAGCATTACTTATAGTGGCCAAGATGTGGAAGAATTGAAAGATGAATCGATATAGAAGATGTAACATATATATATATATATATATATATATATATATATATATATATAGTGGAATATTGGTCATAAAAGAGAATGAAATCTTGCCATTTATGACAGCATTGGTGGACCTAGAGGTTACTGTGCTAAGTGAAGCCAAGTCAGAAAAAGAAAGAAAAACACCATATGATTTCACTTATATGTGGGCTCTAAATATGAAACAAATGAGCACACAAAACAAAAATAGAAACAGACTCATAAATACAGAGAACACCTCCAGAGGGGAGGTGGGTTGGGGGTGGGCAAGATAGGTGAAGGGGACTAAGGGGTACAAACTTCCAGTTACAAATAAATTAAATCACAGGGATGTAATGTACAGCATAGGAAACAGAATCAATAACATTGTAGTAACTTTATGTGGTGCCAGATGGTAACTAGACTGCTTTCGCAGTGTATAAAAATCACTCTGTTGTACACCTGAAACTAACAGGATGTCAGTTACACTTCAGTTTTTAAAAAAAGAACCAGAAGGAGGTGAAAAGTCATGAAAATTTAGAACACAAAGGACAAAGAGAAGAGCCTATAAATTTTCAGAGAGAGAGAGAGAAATTAATATGCAAAAGGGGACAAATTGGAATGGCAGAGAAGCACCATCATTAAAAGACAATGGAGCAGCGCCTTAAGAATTCTGAGTTCCCTGTTTCCAATCTGGAATTCTTTCCCCAGCCAAACTCCCAATCAGGAGTGAGGGTAGAAAAAGCTATATTCAGATACACAGGTTCTCGGAAAGTTTGCCCCCCGTGCCCCTTTTCTATGGAAGTGAATTAGAAATAAGCAAACCACTACTGGGTATTTACAACTAAAGATACAAGCGTAGTGATCCGAAGGGGCACGTGCACCTGAGTGTTTATAGCAGCAATGTCCACAGTAGCCAGACTGTGGAAAAAACCTAGATGTCCATCAACAGATGAATGGATAAAGAAGATGTGGTATATATATACAATGGAATACTACGCAGCCATCAAAAGAAATGAAATCTTGCAATTTGCAATGAGATGGATGGAACTAGAGGGTATTTATGTTGAGCGAAATAAGTCAATCAGAGAAAGACAATTATCATATGATCTCCCTGATATGAGGAATTTGAGAAGCAAAGTTGGGGGCTTGGGAGGTAGGGAAGGAAAAACAAGATGGGATCGGAAGGGAGACAAACCATAAGAGACTCTTAATCTCATAAAACAAACAGAGGGTTGCTGGGAGGAGGGGGGTAGTGACAGGGTGGTTGGGGTTATGGACACTGGGGAGGGTATGTGCTATGGTGAGTGCTGTGAAGTGTGTAAACCTGACGATTCACAGACCTGTACCCCTGGGACTAATAATATATTATATGTTAATAAAAAATTAAAAAAAAAAAAAGAAATGAGCAAGCCATAAAATCTAGGATCTATGGACCGAACACAGAAGCTAGGTGAAGGGGGGCCCCAGATGATGGAGGAGGGGATCCCATACAGACTGGAGCAGCTAGAGGCTCTGGGAGGGAGACTCCAAGAAGAAGACCTCCCTGGGCTCAATGGGTTGAGAGGGACGTGATACTTAGGATGGGGAATTTGGAGAGGAATCAGTAGCGTGTACCTAAAGAGCTAAGCAAAGGGAAGAAGAACACAAGTGCTCACTTCACTCCAAGGAAAGCAGAAATAAAAAGACTTTGTAATCACGACATACTTCAAGACCCAGCTTTGGACTGTGTTTAGGTATTTTTTTTAAGATTTTATTTATTTATTTGAGAGAGAGGCAGTGAGAGAAAGCATGAACGAGGAGAAGGTCAGAGGGAGAAGCAGACTCCCCATAGAGCTGGGAGCCCGATGCGGGACTCGATCCCGGGACTCCGGGATCATGACCTGAGCCGAAGGCAGTCGTCCAACCAACTGAGCCACCCAGGCGTCCCTGTGTTTAGGTCTTAATAACATAAACGCAGTGTCGTCTTAGTGGGGCAGGCTGGGGATGGTGGATGAAAGAGAGCTAATCCTTGGATTCTGCAACAGGAGATGGCCGTGGTCCGAATGTTCGTGTCCCCCTTCTTCATGCATAGGTTGGAATCCTAAGCCTCAAAATGGATGGCATGAGGAGGTGGGGCCTTTAGAAAGTGTGGAAGTCATAAAGATAGAGTTCACGTAAGTGGGATTAGTGTCATTAAAAAAAAAAACAACAAAGAGCTCCGCACCCCTTCCGCCATGTGAGCACACAGCTGGACAGGCCCAGCCAGAATCAGGAAGTGGGTGCTCACCAAACACCAACTTGGCCAGCGCCTTGATCTTGGGTGGCCTAGCGGGCAGAACAGTGTGAAATAAATGTCTGTTGTTTATCATCTACCCAGTCTGTGATATTTTGTTACAGCAGCCTGAACCGATTAAGACAGAAATTAATAATACTTAAAATTTAAAAAATGAACAAGTCTCGTATAAAAAGAATAAAAGTATAAAAGGAACCAAAGTGTGTGTACTATTTAATCCCACCTGTAAGAAGTTCAAGAACTGGCCCAGCTGGTCAGCGGGGATGGCGTTAGGAGAGTTGGCCCTCGGGCAGGGGTGCTGAATGGGACAGGACGGGAGAGGCTGTCCTGGGGTCAGGGAAATGATCTAGATCGTGAGCTGGCTGTGATCCCACACGTGTATATTCATACATTCAAGCATTCCTCAAGCCCTCAGATTTATACACCTTACAGTCGGCTTTTATACTAATTAGAAAAAAGGCATAAGAAAAGAAGCAGAAGCATGTTGTTTAGCGCTATAGAAGACACACAATAAACAGCAAAACAAAATTGAGATTGGTTGCTTCTGAGGAAGGAGAGTGGTGACGGGTAGGGATGAACTTTGTAGCAAGCCTTGTGGAATTATTTGACTTCGTTAAATTACGTGCATGTATGGCTTTGATTTCTTAAATGCTAGAAAAGAAAAAAAACCCAGTTGAGCACACATCCCGTCCTGCCGGCTTTGCTCTGATCCCTGCCAGGGGCTGCATTGTGTCATTTAGGGAAGGACTTGGCTGGTGGCTGCATGACATTATCTGCAAGGCGGATGTAAGCAGACCTAAGACCTAAATGTCATTGTATGTTGTGCAGGGGAAGGGCTGGTATACCCCAGCACTGGCTGCAGTGCCACACCTAGAGGTCAGTCCATGGAGGGCGTTCCGTGGAGGGCAAGGGGTACCGCCCAAGGTCTAGGACAGTGGCAGTGGCTCCTGGAAACTGAACAGATGCCTGGCACTCAAGCAGCCTTCCCAGATTGCTGTGTGTGACCAAGACCGGACAGCAGCGTCCCCGTGCCCTTGGCTGCTGGGGTGACCATCTCCAGTGGACTCAGGCTCACAGAATTAAGGCTGAACAGACGGGGGTCTGAGCTGTGGTCTCACCCCTCCTCCCCCTCCTCCTCACCTCGCAGGTTTCGGATAAAGTCCTCCAGCATCATCTTGCGGTCAGGCTTGATGTTGGGGCTGTACATGTCGGTGTTGAGGAGGATAATGGCGAAGGCAAGAATGAAGATGGTGTCGGGGTTGTGGAATTGTTGCACCACCTCGGGGTTGCACATGCAATAGCGCTGGCTGTGGGGGGGACATGGAGTGGGATGCCCAGTTACGTCCCCTCCCCCCAAACCCTCATCCCCCAGTCCCTGAGCTCCAGAGACTGGGGGCTGTTGGGGCCTGTAAGCTGGTTCCCCAAGGGCATCTGGTCTGTAATGGTGGTTGGCTTCCCTGTAGCTTGGTCCTCTTCTCCACTGAGAGGACGGGGCAGGTGTCCCACACCCGTGGAGCCCATCACCTTGCACAGACGCGGGATGAGGGAGAAGCCCGCAGTCCACTTGGGGAGCCTGGCGCTACTCCAGCTTAGCGAGCTCGAGGGCTGAGGGCTCCTGTCCCTTTTCTTCCCTTCCTTCTATCCCACCCAGCCCACCACCCCCGCTGCCTCACCAGGAGTGCTTCTCCCCAACCCTGCACTAACCGCCCCCCCCAGCATCTCCCGTCCCCCGTGACCCCAGGCATGTGTTTTGAGGGCTGGGGGAGGGGAGGGAGGCTACAGAAGGGGGTCCTACCTGAAGGCCTCTATGAGCCGCTCCACCTTCTGGGCCTCCCCTTGCACGCGGATGTGAGCCTGGAACTTCCGCAGGGCCTCGTCCAGCTCCATGCTGGAGAAGTCCATCTCGTCCACCACGCAGCTGGGGGCGGGGGAGGGACGAGGGGTCTTGAGGAGAGGTCGGCCCCTGAACCTCCCTCAACCCAAAGAAACTGAGGAGCAGTGTGCAAGGTGCACCTTCCCTACCCCCCTGGACAGCCCGCCCTGCTGGGGGAGGGGCTGGGGTCCCGTGACCAATCAGGAGGGGCCTCCTAGGCCAAATCGCCCCACCCCCGGGGGCTTTCCTTTGAAAACCCCCAGATGGCAGCTGGTGGTGGAAGCCTCTGGGTCTAGCCCAGGGAGAGGCAACTCTTGATTTCTCAGCAGCGTGTTACCTCTTCTCTAGGTCTTCCCCAGGTGGCAGGTGAGCCCTGAGAGCAGCATCATGGGGCCCACATCCACGTGACCCCCAGCCCAGCACAGTCAGGAGTTAGGGATTGTGCATGATTGACCCAGGCCACGAGGCTGGTCGGAGGAGGTGAACCAGCGGACCGGCAGCGAGGGGCCGAGGAGCTAGAGCCCGGGAGGCAAGGGCTGGGTGGGGACAGGGATGGAGACAGAGAGACGCAGAGGATACAGAGTCTGGTGAGAAAGACAGGGAGGACAAAGACAGAGAGACAGAGAAGGCAAGAGAGACAGAAAAATAAGGGCAAGGAGATGAACAGGGAAGCAAGAAAGACCCACAAAACAGGGGAGAGACAGAGACAGAAGAGACCAGAGACGGCGAGAGACAGGGAAAAAGACAGACAGACAAAGAGAGGAAGGAGAGGAGGGAGAGAGGTGGAAAGTAACAGGACATGCAGGTGGAGAACACCACAGACTGGACAGGGTGGCCTGGGTGTGGGTGGGGTGGGCTGCACAAGCTCATCTCTGCCCCCACCTGACATGTGGAGACCACCGGGGAGGGCGGTATGCCCCAGGCTGGCCAAACCCAGAGGACCCCAGGCTGGCCCCTGGTGCCCCGGCCAGGCGCCCAGCTGCTGCCCAGGACTTGCCCCATCAGTCTGTCCATCCCACTGCTTCAGGGCCTCTGAGGCCCTCTGCACTGTCTTTCCCAGAGCCTCTGTGCCTTCTGTCCCACCGCTCTGAGGGGGTGGGTGCCTCAGGCCTCTGAGGGGGTGGGAGGCCCCAGGCACCATGGCAGGGGGCGAAAGCAGCTGAAGGAGGCAGTGGAGCAGCTGGGAGAAAGTGGGATCTGCTCGGCCAAGCACGATGGCCTAGTTTCCCGGCCTTCACTCAGGTGACCGGCAGCCCGCTCACTGGCTCGCTCGGGGCTGCGGCTGAAAGCTCCAGTAATGAGCCCAGAGCCCGAGACTCAGCCAGGTGGAAATGCCAGCCGCAGACTGGGAGTGCTGAGTAAATCGGCCACAGGCCACCGGGGAGGCGGGGGAAGGAGGAAGAGACAGATGCAGAGCCCCTACACGCACGCACGCACACACGCATGCACACGCATGTGCGCACTTATTTCGCGCCTTCCTACCGGGAGGATTGCCACCATGGGGCATCAGTGTTCGATGGGCTGATGGTGTCCTGGGGCTCTCAGATCCCGAGGGGAAAAAAAATCTCAGTGTGTTCTGCCAAACCCCAGATGGCAGGGAAGAAGCTGTTCTGAGTGGTGGTAGGGCATTACCATCCCCGAGAAGACAAATGCCTTCCTCTCTGGAGACTTGGGGTCCAAGCCAGGTAAGCGCTCAGGACTGCCCTTACTCTCTGAGAAAGACCCAGCAGAGAGGGCCACAGTCAGCAGCGGCGTTCCTGGCTGGCCAATGAGCGGGCAATGACGGGCTGCTTCTCTCCCTCACCCCAGGGGACCACCGGGGGTCTTCCTGGTGGGGACTGTGCCGCCTGGGGCAGCTAGCTAGTCCAGGCTGTGTTCTCTCCTGACAAGCCTGCCCCAGTGGACCCTCACCTCAGAACCTCGGCCATCCTGCAATCACCCAAACCTTTGTCCCTCCACTCAGCATGATGCTTTTTTCTCTCCCGAAGGGTCAGCTCAGCCTGCATGACGACCTCCTCTCCCTCTCCTCTTCTCTCCCTCTTTCCCATGGTCTCTCTTATTTTGCTGGGTCTACTGTAAAATCACCCCTTCCCCATCCTTCTTTGCCACCCCAGAATCCCTGTGAGGTGCAGACTGACAGTTTTCCAAACCTATCCTGCTGCGTCCACCCAGGACAGCCCATGACTGTCTCTCCTCTTAGAGGATCTTTAAGGTCAAAACCATCACACATTTCTGCGTGGTCTTGTCTGGCGTATAATCTCCCCATTTTGCAGAAGGCAAAACTGAGACCACAAAGGGGCTTGCCCCATGCTTCCTGCTCCTGTGAGGCCTTTTCCCCCAGCAGGACCTCTCCACTCTAAGGGGGGGGGGTCCAAGACCAGTGGGGGACATGGCCTCTTCACTCACATTTACTAAAGACTGTTCTTTGCTCAGAGCTCTGGCCTGAGGGCTGGTGGTGCTAATTTTTAAGTGGAGTCCAGATGGGGTGGACTCAGAGGCAGGAGGAGAGATTGAGACCGCCAGTTGAGACACATTCAGTCTGAGATGGTCTTACTGATAGTACCAACTTAGTGTCTACTAAATCATCCCCCTTAGTACCCGGAGTCTTGTCTTTCCTATTTCACGAATTAGGACCCTGCCTTGACTCTTCTTTGCCTCTCGTCGCTACCCCTTCTCTCTACTCTTCTTTGGAGCCAAAATTCTAGAAGGTGTCCCTACCCATGCTGTCTGTACTTCCTCAATCCCATTCACTTTTCAACCCACTCCAGCCAAGCATCTACCCCAGCATTCCATTAAAACTTCTCTTGTCAAGGCCATGCTGGCTGCCTCGTTGCCAAGTCCAATGGCACCAGCTTCTCATCCCACCAGCCTCTTGGTGGCACGGACATTGTTCATCGTTCCCTTCTTGAAACACTCCTCTCTCCCGCTCTCCTCACACCACCCTCCCCTTGGTTGACTCTTTCATCTCTGAGGGTGCCCCTCCTCCATCCAGAGCCTCCCTCCCTTGGCCTCCAAATTAGGGCTGGCCACCAGTCTCCCTTCTCCCTCTTAACACCTCTGTCGAGGTGGCCTCATCCATCACTGTGGCTCTGAATGTCCCCTGCCACCACTCATACGTGTGTATCTCTTATGATGAATTCCCCCTTTCCATGTTATTATTCGTCACTAACTAGTTAATTTTCTTTTTGGTTGATTCGTATTTTTAATAAGAGACAACGTTGCTGAATCCAGGGGGGCCAAGTAAACAACCAACTGTGCGTTTAATCGAAGCCAACCAACTTCTGAGTTCTCACTGTTGACCTCATCGGGGTGCTCTGGTCTGAATGGCAGTCAGAGCTGGTCCTGGCACACTCACAAGCCCACAGGCTGTGCTGGCATGTCTTGCAGGGAAGTCAGCCTGCACACACGTCATGTTTCAGTGGCTATTTAATATTTCAGCTTGTTCTCGGTAAATATTTGATAATACCTGGTTTGAGGGATTCTTCAGATCAAATGTTCCCGACCCCAGCATCTCCCTTCCCAAACTGAAAATATGCACATGTTTATTTGGTATAATTTCACAAATTACCCTAGAGAGCCTGAAGCACAAACAAATTCATATGCTAAGAGGGAGGGTTCTGAAATCTCAGCCCCTCTGGAGGCTGTTCCTTGGATCAGCTACCCCATCCCCGCACCTGCCTGGCCACGCCTCCCGGCCCCGCCTACTTCTCCCTTCCGTGGCCACTGCTTGAGCTCAGTCTCAACATTTCTCCCCAAGACTGTGCCTTCGATGGCCTCCTAACCAGCCTCCCTGCCTCCAAGTCATGTTCCAGAACAATCCTTCAAGGACACCCATTTGGTCCTGTCACTCACTCCTCTGCTTCTATTTTTTTCCCAAGGCTTCCCACATCGTAGTCTGAAGCCCCAGTTTCGGGGCCAAGCAAACCCCAACTTCTGCCCAGCTTTTCCTGCCCCTTCCATATATCGGCTTCCCCTCCTGCAGTTTGGGTCTGAAGCCTGACACTTTTGTACACGCTGTCCTTCTTCCTGCTGCCCAGCCCCAACCTCAACGTCCCTGGTGAGCTGTCCATCTCTCCAGGAGTCCTCCTGGACCGCCCTGGCCTCCCGGACAGTCCTCTGTCTACCGCCGCCGTTGTCCCTTGTGCAGTAACATTTATCTGCCTGTCTTCGCACCCGGCTCCACGCCCCTTCCAGCAGGAGCCTCTCACTCTCTGCGTGCCTGGCGTGCATATGAATTCAATAACCGTTTCTGGGATGAATGAATGCGTGAGTGAGAGACCAGCTGGGCGAATGAATGGGACCTGGAGCATGTGCTCAGCTAGGGAGGGAGCCCAGTGGCCTGAGCCTCTGGGAGCTCTGCCCAGTGGCTCAGGATTGCTGGGCCTGCTTTGCCAAGATCATCTGGAGCTGCCCCCTAGACGGGGTAGAGCTGCCTAGGAAACGGCCCTGTGGATGCCAGACCGCAGGCAGTCAGGCAGTGTGGCGGGCACAGGCTTCCCACTGCCTTCAGCCGCACACGCGAGGAAGTGAGTGAGGAGAAGCCGGGCAAACTGGTGCCCATTAAGCCGCTTCCAGCAGAGCCTGCCTGCACCTGCCCAGGGTGGGGCCTCCGATCAGCGAGTGAGTGGATCATGAGAGTTGGAGCTTCTGCTGGGGCCTCCCTCCCTCTCTTTCCTGTGCAAGCCCCTCCCAGGGGCTGTGGGGAACAGAAGCACAGATGTTCCCTGCATCTGTATAAACAGGTACAGCCTTGCAGAAAATGGTTTGTTAATACTGATCTGTGCATCGAAGCGGTTTGTGTTGCAAGGAGATGAAGCATCGTACACGACTGTGAGCAAAATGAATTTCGTCATCTCAACTTTTTTTTTTTTTCTTTTACGATATCAAGACTGTGTCTGGCAGACAAAGGAACTGACTGGGAGCTGAAAATAGGTAATGATAGCAGCAGGGATTTTTAATTGGCCAGAAGAGACAGCAGAGATCTGGAAGGTGAGGCTCGGGCTGAGCTCAGAAGAGGTGCGAGAGCGCAGCGCCCGCCGACAGCA